AGTGAGGACAGGGACTTCTTCTGCCCCACGTCTCACAACTTACAAGTAACTTGATATACACGCATCGATTTTTTTCCCTTATAAAAAGCTAAGCTATAGACAAGCTTTAAATAGAGACAGTTATGTCTCATCATTTTTTGTTTTGTTTTGAAATATATTTTTATTGCTTTCAGAGAGGGAGAGATAGAAACATCAATGATGAGAGAGAATCATTGATTGGCTGCCTCCTGCACGCCCCCCACTGGGGATCAAGCCTGTAACTTGCCATGTGCCCTTGACCGGAATCAAACCCAGGACCCTTCAGTCTGCAGGCCAACACTCTATCCACTGAGCCAAACCAGGTAGGGCTCATCCTTTTTGCTTTTTTTTTTTAATCCATTAAGGGCTTCAGGCCAGCACTCTATTCACTGAACCAAACCAGGTAGGCTCATCCTTTTTGCTTTTTCTTTTTTTTTTTTAATCCATTAAGGGCCTGGAATTAAATTAATTCATCCTTTTCTAAAATTGAGCCATTCATTTCTAAAGAACAATGAAGGTGCAGAAAGAGAGGATTGCAAAATTTGTTTTCAAATATCACAGGTGATGTGGGTGGGAAAGGATGGGACTGGAATTCATAACACCACCAGCACCAAGCAGCACCAAATAGCCTGTGTGCCATTTTTTCACCTCTGCATTGCATATTACAAATTATAAAGCAAGATCAGATATGAATAAAAAGCAGATCAAAAGCTCATGCACAACATTGCTCACCAAGTAAGGTTGAGACCATCATGCCCCTTTGGGCCTCACACACAAATCTCTGGCACCATTGCTGTCATTTAAGGTTTAGACAAATCGCCCAGGATCAGACCACTGGCACCTTTGACAAATTAGAGGCCCAATTAAAGTGGCCATTAATAAGCTAGAAACAGGCCGACATAAAATCAGGGCTCCTGACTCACCCTTCAGGCTGATGAGGACGGAAGGAAGACAGAAAGGAGGGGTGGATGTCCCCCCTCAAACTCACACCAGACACCCCTACCGTGATGTCAAACACACGAGACACCTCAACCCCGAATGGAAGGGTCGTCCAGACTAGGTCAAAGGGAAGGGAAGACCCACATGGGTACAGCAGATGGCTTCCCTGACCCTCAACACCGGTTGGCAATGAATTCCCTGGGGTGTGCGGGCTTATAGCGCAGAAACCCTGGGAGGGAGCAGGCCAAGGACTCTTTCCTCCCTATCGAGCGGAACATCACGAGGGCTTCCGGGACTAAAGAGGAGGGTAGGAATCACTGTTCCTCATAACAGGCGCCTTAGTTATTTTTGACAGTGTTTCTTCATGTGTCATACAGCATCTCTTTGTATGAAAACGTGTAGCGATGAGCATTTTGTCACATTCAGGCCTTAGAAATTCAGTATGAGGCAAATCCAAATTAGATCCCATCCTACTGGGTTTAGATACTGAGATTTCAAGAAAAGGGGGGGAAAACCCAATTTCTATAATGCTAGTTTCTTTACAAGGTGAACATGAGGTAATGACAAAAATGTGCAATCAGGTTCAAGTGTGGCAGGTTAACTTTCTGATTTCTTTAATTTAATCAAAACCAACAACTGGGATGGGCAAGAGAGTAAGGGGGAAATTAGTTACATCTAATTTATTGAGGGATTGCATACCATATGACATCTCACTCATGAGCTAGTCTTTATCATTAAAACTTCAAAAATAGCTAGCATTCTGTGAGCGTTTAAGTTAAGCACTTCGGACAACGTATTTCGTTTAAATATCCCAATTCTATAAAGTAGGTCCTGTTGACATACTACAGGGCAGGAACCAAAGGCAGGGAGGTGAGGAAGGTCGACCTGCCAAGACCAAGCACAGGGCCCTCCATGTGAGGAAGGTGTGTCCATCTTCTGTTTAAAGGTTCTTTTTGTTGTTGTTGTTGTTAATCCTCAACCTGAGGATAATTTCCCATTGATTTTTAAAGAATGGAAGGGAGGGCGAGAGACACAGAGAGAGAAACATCAATGTGAGAGAGACACATCGATTGGTTGCCTCCTGCGTGGGCCCTGACCACGGCCGGAGATTCGATTGGTTGCCTCCTGCGTGGGCCCTGACCACAGCCGGAGATTGGGCCTGCAACCAAGGTAAGTGCCCTTGACCGGAATCGAACCCGAGACTCTTCAGTCTGTGGGCTGATATTCTATCCACTGAGCAAAACTGGCTAGGGCTAAACATTAAGAGCATAAATCTACCATCCTGACTTCTCTTTGTTTCTTAATCAAGAACTACAGGTCCCGCCAAACCGGTTTGGCTCAGTGGATAGAGCGTCGGCCTGCGGACTGAAGGGTCCCGGGCTCAATTCCGGTCAAGGGCATGTACCTTGGTTGCGGGCACGTCCCCAACCAAGTGTGGGGCGTGCAGGAGGCAGCTGATCGATGTTTCTCTCTCATCGATTTTTCTAACTCTGTCCCTCTCCCCTCCTCTGTAAAAAATCAATTAAAAAAATATATATAAAAAGAACTACAGGTCCTAATGTTTTAAAATAATTAAATTATGGAAAGAAAAGATTGATTCTGAATATCACGAATAAGAAAATTCAAGATGTCTGTTTTACAGAATATTTTCAGAGAAATTACGTTTTCTTGGTGTCATTTATAGCTTGTATAGCCTGGCTTCTTACATATGCTTAAGTGAAAAATCAACATCAGTATAATTAATACCTTCGCTGCTGAATGG